TTTGTTTAATTCCGGTTAGCACGGCACTTGATTAAAACTTCATTGATGCCTACTACAACATAGGAATGTTTCGTACAAAGTCTGAACAAAGACTATACAACATTATACTCCTTTTGTGTGTCAAACCAAGTAGAATTTGAACATGTTTAAGGAAAACAATTTGTTTAATTCCGGTTAGCACGGCACTTGATTAAAACTTCATTGATGCCTACTACAACATAGGAATGTTTCGTACAAAGTCTGAACAAAGACTATACAACATTATACTCCTTTTGTGTGTCAAACCAAGTAGAATTTGAACATGTTTAGGAAAAACAATTTGTTTAATTCCGGTTAGCACGGCACTTGATTAAAACTTCATTGATGCCTACTACAACATAGGAATGTTTCGTACAAAGTCTGAACAAAGACTATACAACATTATACTCCTTTTGTGTGTCAAACCAAGTAGAATTTAAATATATATAAGGAAAACAATTTGTTTAAGTTCGGTTAGCACGGCACTTGATTAAAACTTCATTGATGCCTACTACAACATAGGAATGTTTCGTACAAAGTCTGAACAAAGACTATACAACATTATACTCCTTTTGTGTGTCAAACCAAGTAGAATTTGAACATGTTTAGGAAAAACAATTTGTTTAATTCCGGTTAGCACGGCACTTGATTAAAACTTCATTGATGCCTACTACAACGTAGGAATGTTTCGTACAAAGTCTGAACAAAGACTATACAACATTATACTCCTTTTGTGTGTCAAACCAAGTAGAATTTAAATATATATAAGGAAAACAATTTGTTTAAGTCCGGTTAGCACGGCACTTGATTAAAACTTCATTGATGCCTACTACAACATAGGAATGTTTCGTACAAAGTCTGAACAAAGACTATACAACATTATACTCCTTTTGTGTGTCAAACCAAGTAGAATTTGAACATGTTTAGGAAAAACAATTTGTTTAATTCCGGTTAGCACGGCACTTGATTAAAACTTCATTGATGCCTACTACAACATAGGAATGTTTCGTACAAAGTCTGAACAAAGACTATACAACATTATACTCCTTTTGTGTGTCAAACCAAGTAGAATTTAAATATATATAAGGAAAAACAATTTGTTTAAGTCCGGTTAGCACGGCACTTGATTAAAACTTCATTGATGCCTACTACAACATAGGAATGTTTCGTACAAAGTCTGAACAAAGACCATACAACATTATACTCCTTTTGTGTGTCAAACCAAGTAGAATTTGAACATGTTTAGGAAAAAGCAATTTGTTTAAGTCCGGTTAGCACGGCACTTGATTAAAACTTCATTGATGCCTACTACAACATAGGAATGTTTCGTACAAAGTCTGAACAAAGACTATACAACATTATACTCCTTTTGTGTGTCAAACCAAGTAGAATTTAAACATATTTAAAGAAAACAATTTGTTTAATTCCGGTTAGCACGGCACTTGATTAAAACTTCATTGATGCCTACTACAACATAGGAATGTTTCGTACAAAGTCTGAACAAAGACTATACAACATTATACTCCTTTTGTGTGTCAAACCAAGTAGAATTTAAATATATATAAGGAAAACAATTTGTTTAAGTTCGGTTAGCACGGCACTTGATTAAAACTTCATTGATGCCTACTACAACATAGGAATGTTTCGTACAAAGTCTGAACAAAGACTATACAACATTATACTCCTTTTGTGTGTCAAACCAAGTAGAATTTGAACATGTTTAGAAAAAACAATTTGTTTAATTCCGGTTAGCACGGCACTTGATTAAAACTTCATTGATGCCTACTACAACATAGGAATGTTTCGTACAAAGTCTGAACAAAGACTATACAACATTATACTCCTTTTGTGTGTCAAACCAAGTAGAATTTAAATATATATAAGGAAAAACAATTTGTTTAAGACCGGTTAGCACGGCACTTGATTAAAACTTCATTGATGCCTACTACAACATAGGAATGTTTCGTACAAAGTCTGAACAAAGACTATACAACATTATACTCCTTTTGTGTGTCAAACCAAGTAGAATTTAAATATGTTAAGGAAAAACAATTTGTTTAAGTCCGGTTAGCACGGCACTTGATTAAAACTTCATTGATGCCTACTACAACATAGGAATGTTTCGTACAAAGTCTGAACAAAGACTATACAACATTATACTCCTTTTGTGTGTCAAACCAAGTAGAATTTAAATATATATAAGGAAAACAATTTGTTTAAGTCCGGTTAGCACGGCACTTGATTAAAACTTCATTGATGCCTACTACAACATAGGAATGTTTCGTACAAAGTCTGAACAAAGACTATACAACATTATACTCCTTTTGTGTGTCAAACCAAGTAGAATTTAAATATATTTAAAAAAAACAATTTGTTTAAGTCCGGTTAGCACGGCACTTGATTAAAACTTCATTGATGCCTACTACAACATAGGAATGTTTCGTACAAAGTCTGAACAAAGACTATACAACATTATACTCCTTTTGTGTGTCAAACCAAGTAGAATTTAAATATATATAAGGAAAACAATTTGTTTAAGTTCGGTTAGCACGGCACTTGATTAAAACTTCATTGATGCCTACTACAACATAGGAATGTTTCGTACAAAGTCTGAACAAAGACTATACAACATTATACTCCTTTTGTGTGTCAAACCAAGTAGAATTTGAACATGTTTAGGAAAAGCAGTTTGTTTAAGTTCGGTTAGCACGGCACTTGATTAAAACTTCATTGATGCCTACTACAACATAGGAATGTTTCGTACAAAGTCTGAACAAAGACTATACAACATTATACTCCTTTTGTGTGTCAAACCAAGTAGAATTTAAACATATATAAGGAAAACAATTTGTTTAATTCCGGTTAGCACGGCACTTGATTAAAACTTCATTGATGCCTACTACAACATAGGAATGTTTCGTACAAAGTCTGAACAAAGACTATACAACATTATACTCCTTTTGTGTGTCAAACCAAGTAGAATTTAAATATATATAAGGAAAACAATTTGTTTAAGTTCGGTTAGCACGGCACTTGATTAAAACTTCATTGATGCCTACTACAACATAGGAATGTTTCGTACAGTCTGAACAAAGACTATACAACATTATACTCCTTTTGTGTGTCAAACCAAGTAGAATTTAAACATGTTTAGAAAAAAACAATTTGTTTAATTCCGGTTAGCACGGCACTTGATTAAAACTTCATTGATGCCTACTACAACATAGGAATGTTTCGTACAAAGTCTGAACAAAGACTATACAACATTATACTCCTTTTGTGTGTCAAACCAAGTAGAATTTAAATATATATAAGGAAAAACAATTTGTTTAAGTCCGGTTAGCACGGCACTTGATTAAAACTTCATTGATGCCTACTACAACATAGGAATGTTTCGTACAAAGTCTGAACAAAGACTATACAACATTATACTCCTTTTGTGTGTCAAACCAAGTAGAATTTAAATATTTATAAGGAAAACAATTTGTTTAAGTCCGGTTAGCACGGCACTTGATTAAAACTTCATTGATGCCTACTACAACATAGGAATGTTTCGTACAAAGTCTGAACAAAGACTATACAACATTATACTCCTTTTGTGTGTCAAACCAAGTAGAATTTAAATATTTATAAGGAAAACAATTTGTTTAAGTCCGGTTAGCACGGCACTTGATTAAAACTTCATTGATGCCTACTACAACATAGGAATGTTTCGTACAAAGTCTGAACAAAGACTATACAACATTATACTCCTTTTGTGTGTCAAACCAAGTAGAATTTAAATATATATAAAGAAAACAATTTGTTTAAGACCGGTTAGCACGGCACTTGATTAAAACTTCATTGATGCCTACTACAACATAGGAATGTTTCGTACAAAGTCTGAACAAAGACTATACAACATTATACTCCTTTTGTGTGTCAAACCAAGTAGAATTTGAACATGTTTAGGAAAAACAATTTGTTTAATTCCGGTTAGCACGGCACTTGATTAAAACTTCATTGATGCCTACTACAACATAGGAATGTTTCGTACAAAGTCTGAACAAAGACTATACAACATTATACTCCTTTTGTGTGTCAAACCAAG